TTCTTCCTAATTTACATCCAGTAAAACACAGCATGAGCCAAGAATTTCTGAGCCTTTGCAAGATTTTCTACTAGGCTCTTGTAAAATTGCTCAGCAGCTTCAAGGAAAGCTTCTCCCTACCAGCATTGCAAATGCTCACAATTTTTACAGTTTCAGTCTGTGCCTTTGCCAAATGCAATTTATCATCTACTTTCTTTGAATGAACTTCATTCTATGAAAGTGAGCTCATTAGTTTTACCTTTTTTTAATTTACAAGCAGTTCATAATCTGCTGTTCAAAACTTGGGAGAACTGCTACTGAAATACTGGCAAATATCAAGGCAAAATGGAAAACATACCACCATAAACACTGCCCTAGTGTTGTGAGTACATTTAGAAAAGAGTTGTAATAATAAAATATTATCAGTTTATCGCCATGTAATTTTACCTAGGATAGGAGTTATGATTCAGAGACACCACAAGTGATCAGTTAGGATCACAGCCATGTGCCAAGATTTTAAAAATTTTGTAGCTTCAAGTTATTAAGTTTATGTTGGTATTAACGGCAGAGCAGAGATTCAATTTAGCACTGAATTGAATTTTACATTGTGCATGTTCTTTGTGGGCCATCTTATTAATGTAAAAATACACGACTTTTTTTTTTATTCATAACTGTTTAATAGTTTGGGGTTCATTTATTTTAGGTAGAAGTGTCACCAACACTGTCACAGTATTTTTAATATGTTTCCAAGTAAACCAAAGTGGGATTTGCATCTGCAGTTAATATTGAGATTGTTCTGCTTCCCTTTCCTCAGTGAGTTAGCTGTGTCTTAAATGTTGAGAAATGAGTGCAAAAATGCCTTTTATGAAATATTTAGCAGTACTTTTCATGTGAAACATGTGAAGCCCTTGAGGTTCCAACTTGCAAGAATTTTCATGTACATATACTTAGTTTTTAATAGACCCTCTACAAACATATAGGCGTATGTTTGACAACTGAAATCATAATGAAATGTGAATGATTAATATGGGAAATGCCAATGGCACAATGTTAAATATCACGACACAAGAATTAAGAGCATGAAGCTGATTGCAATTAAAAGTTTAGGAGACTGAACTGATCTATCTGAAACGATCTCATCTGGAACTTGGCCAAGGCATTGTGACTAACAAGCCTGCTCCTGCAAAAAAGTGCCAGAGGAGCTCTGATACCCCTGTGTGGTCAAGATTTCTGCTTTGTCTAAATTAAGCCATCTCAAAACATAACACTGCCATATATATAATCCCATGCCAACATTTGGCAAAGCACTTCTTCTGTTCAAGCATTTGTGCTGGGGAAGGCTGACTAAATACAGCATCAGGGCAAACAGTTTTGAAAGCATTTATTTTGAATTTCATAGGAAGCCAAATGCTGTGCACATACCATTCTGTGACTGAAATTTTCCCCCTGTTCATTTATAGTACTTTCATAGATGTCAACAGGAGGACTGGCACCAGGTCTGTAATATACTGTAAAAACTTTGAAACATCTTATAGTCGGTTGTGAAAATTACAGCAATTTGAGAGCAGTGATTGGGGGATGAACTCAGCTTATGTTCTTCTTCCATCTGGTCTGCTACTGTTCTGTTGAAGATGGAATTGGATTGCACACATTATCCTGAGAGACAAATACTCTCTTTCACCTGTACAATTTAGCATTTAGACTTGGCTCTTCTGCCTTATCTGTGAATCCCAGGGTGCGCTCCCGTATCCATCTCCTGTCAGAGCCTACATCTACTGAATTAAACAGGATCCTTACATAACTGAGGTTGTACATTTGTGGACAAAGAACCCATGCATTTCATCAGAAGTTCTCTGTCTGATGCAGGAGCCTCAGCCCCATGCTCAGGAGGGGCAGCTGCTGCCTCAGGACCCCGGCAGTCCCTGTGGTTGCTGCAAACACAGAGAGAGCAAAGGCTCAGGCTCATGAGGATGTGAAAGAGCTTTCAAAGAGCTCCCATGGCACTGCACTCCTCTGCATCCTAGTGCTGCCCGGGCTGCTGGCTCTCTGCAAGGCCACCTCACCTCTCTCCCGGTGTTTTACCTGAAAGCAGGCGGTGCACAAGTGATGGCAAAAGCAAATCCTACAGAAAGGCACCTGGAAATGGGAAGGCAGGACATATCTTCATCTTAGGTGTTTTAAACTGCCTTTGGAATTTATTTTAGGACCACTCTAGTCTTTCTGTGTTGTGAGGCTTCACTTAGAAAACAGTAAGAAGGAAATCTAAAGCTAGATCTTTGAAATAAACAAAGTGGTTTTCTGGCTTTTGGGGAAACAAAACCAAACCAACAAACCTAATCTGTACTATAAACAAAAAATTAAGAAGAGATACACACATTATAGCATGATGTTGTAAAGTACTTTCGGTGGTGGACTTCAGCAAAGCTTAAATGCAAAGTATATTTCATCTACACTTGCACAATTTACTGAGCTCAGTCAGAAATTCCCCGCTGAAGCTGATAATGATTGATGCCTCTCCAAGATAGGTAAAATCCCAATCTCTGTAATTATGCTTATTACCTTGTTACAGTTGTTAAGGTTCTCCCCTTTTAGAAGTATTCCAAGAATTAGCTGAGTTACAGCAGGTTATTAGTGAAACATGGGCTCTGCAAGCATCTTCTAAAATAAGGGGACTATGGAATTAATTCTGCAGACTTTACTTTTATATCTGAGAACAGAACAGTAGGAAAAAAAGGAAATGATTATTGGAATTCTAAATCAGATCCTATGTTTGACCCCAATAACTTCAGAAGAGCTACTGCTCTAATGCATGTAGGATCAGGCGTTATATATTGGCCCACCATTTTGCATTTGGATGTACCCAGTGTAGTTTACCCAGCTAAACACCCCACCTTCTCTTCAAGAAGTGTGAGTTCTATGAAGAGCTCAGTGTTTTAAAAATCAGATTATTTTTGCTTAAGAGTCCAAGGTGCTGACTTATATGTCTGACTTGATCTACCCAAACTGGGATGGGTTTATGGTTCAGCTTATTTTAGATTAACAGGTAATTGAAAATAGTTCTTCCTAAATTAGTAAAAGTCTTAGAAGAAGCCTTGGATAGTAAGAAAGGACCTATAATGCTTAAAATGTGCCATGTACATTTTTTTTTACATGTATTTGTATGGTAACTTAGCTTATGTTCCAACATAGTTTAATCAAAATTACAGTAGATCATCTCATTGCAAAGAAATTAGCTTTTTACTGTCTTTGCCTGACTCACTTAAAGGCTCTAATTAAGGATATACTAAACACGAAAATCTCTCCTAAGGCTTTAGGCTTTGTAGATGTTATCTGAAGCTCATTAATGCTTCCGGTTAGGACAAAAATACATTCAAAAGTTTGGATGATGAACTTTTGGGCTTTTGTTTTTAAAAATGATAAGTGTAATCAACAGGAATAGTATTTTTACTTCAGCATGCCTTTTAAGAGAATTTGTTTATAATTTATTTGTATTTGAGCCAGAAAAATAAAAGTATTTGGAAAGAAAAAATTAAAATACACCGGTCACAACATAGTTGTATGTTCTGATCTTATTTCCTACTGCAAGTTTGACTTCAATCTTTGAATGACTCAGAAAATTTACAGTGCTGTGAGACACCTCAAGATTCCATTAGATACCCTTTTATAAAGTGCTGTACATCTGTAGAAATCTTCCAAAATGTCACTCACAGCAAAAAAACTTCTGCTTACAGATGTAAATACCTATTTGGCAATGTCCCGTTCAGTAGCATTATTTATAGGCTTGGTTTTGTGTCTTAACCTTATTATCAGAAATAAACGGTAACACGCATACTCCCTCCACTGATGACATCTGTTAAAACCTGTTTGCTCTCCTATTACAAGCAGTATTATGTCACGTTATTTATCACTGCTGCGACCAGGTAACACAAACATGAAAGAGTAACCGGTGTCATTCAGCTCTGGCAGGCAGTGCTGAATCAGATGCTCTCTGAACTCCCGGGTACCGCGCACTGCCCGCGGTGCCAGGAGCGCTCGGTCGGGCTTTAAACGCTGTGCGAAAAACCGAGCGCAAGTGGCCAGCCCGCACCTCCTGAGGCTGCGGCTCCCCTCTGAACGGCCCCGCTGCCAACACCGCACACAAGGATGTGCGTGATAAAAGCATCTGATCCTTCCTGGCAGTGAGCACCAAGCCAGACTGGGTCAAAGCAAAGGAGGGAATCTGGGAGATCAGTGTAAACCTTTACTCCGCTTTGATACTTCCTCCTTCAAAACAGACTTGGCTTTCCAAGGAAGAGCCACGTGAAGGAGAGCGGGAGTCAAGGTTAAAGCCATCAGGTCCAAGGCAGTGGAATGTTCTTATCAGGGAGGGGTGTATTCTGCCAAGGCAACGCAGATCAGTAGGATCATAAGACAAGATTTCTGCCTAAAATCTTGAAGTCTCTTCGCCGTGTGTTTGAATTCATTCTACAAAGTCATTCCGTGGCTTAGCAAAATTAATCCTCATCCCGTGTCGGGAGGGAGGAATAGAAATCCATCACCTTTAAACACAACACATTGAGCAAATCGACAGTTTGAGTGTGGCGTGAAACCTTTGCAGATTTTGCAAAGCAAGTGCTCTGTCTTTTCCCTTATTGTTTGCCCTTCACTTGACATACAGGAAGAGATGCATCAAGAGGATGGCAGGAGACATGTGTCACTTAAAGAATGCCATAACAATGTTTGCCCTGGAATACTCCCTTGAATCTGTTTGAACAAGCAGGCATCACACATGGAAAAACACACAGAGAACTTCACCTAGTTACAAAGTTGACAGAACCCCTTCGCCATCCTCCCCCGCTGAGCAGCGCCAGCCCCGGGCACGCCGCTCCCTTCGGCCCTGAGCTGGAGAGCCGCGGTCACGGCGCACCGGGTCACTTGTTGCACAGTGCCAGGGTGGCATCTCCCCTCCGCTCAGCCCACCGAAAGTCGCCGGAGCCGCGTTTCGGCGGAGCCCGCTCCGAGCTCCCGCCGCGGCCGCTTACCTGCATGTGTCCCTGGTACATCCTGCCGCGGCTGCTCGGCTGCCCTCGGCCCGGCAGGTGCGCTGCGCTGGGGCGCTTCTCCGGCCGCTCGACTACTAGAAAGAAAAAAAAAAAAAAAAAAAAAATGGTAAAAAAAAAACAAAAAAAAAAAAAAAAAAAAAAAAAAAAAAAGGAAAAAAAAAAGGCAAAAAGGAAAAAAAAAAAAAAAAAAGCCTAACCCTGAAGGAGCTATTTTTGGCTAAAGCTCCGTTTGTCCTGGCAGCTCCTGTACCGGTTTCAGTAACCCAGAGCTGTTCGCCGCCCTCCTCTCGCCTCGCTGCCTGTTTCCCCCTGCGAGGCGGTGCCGGCACTGCCCGGGAGCGGTGCCGGGGGCGCTGGGCAGGCGGGCGGACCCGGGCAGGGCTGCGGGCGGCCGGGCGGGGAGAGCCGCGGGGCGGAGCGGGGCCGCCGCTGCTGCCGGGCCGCGCCCGCCCCGCCGCGCCTCGTCCCGCTGCAGCCGCCCCGGCCTGGCGGCCCCGGCCCGGCCGCCCTCCCCCGCCTCCCGCCGGCAGCCCCGGCCTCCTTCCCGCCCCCCTTCCCTCCTCCTCCTTCCTTCTCTCCTCCCTCCTTCCCTCCCTCTCTCCCTCCGCAGGGGGAGCGCGCAGCATCCAGGGAACGCGCGGAGCCCCGCGGCCGCCGGGCGGAGCCGCCGGGGTCCCGCTGCAGCCCCGAGCCCACCGCCCCGCCAGCGCTGGCGGATCCCGCTGCAGTCATTAAAAGAAAAAAAAAATACAAAACAAGGCCAAAAACCCCAGAAAAAAAAACCTGCTAAGCATAACAGCAGAAATCGGAGCGTCCCGGAGCCAGGACTCGGCAAAACCTGGATGTGGCACACGGAGCCCGCGGTGGCGAGTTTCGGCTGCCCGCGGAAGCGGAGGCGCGCAGGGAGCGGCCCCGGCGCGGGCGCATCCCGGCGATGGGCGCTGCCCGCGGAGCTCCCGGCCGCGGGGAACCGGGCTCAGCAAAAAGAGCGGGCCGGGCCCTACCTTGTGCTCTGCGTGTGAAGAGCGAACGTGATCTGTTGTAATTCCCAGGAAATATCAGGAGACTCTGGTTCTGGCTCCGTAGTATCGCTTAGCAGCGTTTTTCAGCGCTTGCCAAAGACAGTGTTATATAGGCAAAAAGCTGGCAGCGGCCCGTACGTGCAAAATTCTGACCTTGTAAACTGGCACAACAGGCCTGGCTAAATCCTGAAGGAGACACCTGCATCGTCTTGGATCCAGCTTTTTTCTCCACTTCGCCACCTCAAACCTGAAACTCCCAATCTGCTAAAAGGAGCAGCTGCTTCAATTTCATCTTAAATTTCTGTCCTACCCAGTGTGTCTATATTCAGTAGCACAGAAAACCTCCAGCGCCTGGAATTTGCTAGATTGTGTAATGTCTTGGCTCTGAGCTCTCAAGTTTCACTATTAAACTACACAAAACTTTATGATGCTTTTGATAGACCAGAGCAATCCAGCCTTAAGCATGCTCCTGTACTAGAGCAATGCAAAATAGATTTCTTATTCCTGAGACCAGCACATTTGTATCATCACAGCTCTCATGTCAGCTGACTAAAAAAGCCTTTTTGAAGTGTTCTCATTCAGCTAAAAAAATGGGTTTTTGCAGAACATGAGTTCATAAAGTCTTCAGTGATGGCATAAGCAAAATCTATCCAATTATTTTTTTCACTTAGGCTTAAGAGTTTTATCTTTTAGATAGATAGCAAAAATGACAGTTCTTTTACATCCAGTGAATATGTATCCAGCTCACTGAGATTTTCAGAACGGCCAAGGAGTTTAGCCATGTATTGGTGATAAAAGGAAAGAAGAAATGATTTTTTTTTTTTTTTTTTTGTGATAAAAGGAAAGAAGAAATGATTTTTTTTTTTTTTGTCTAAATCCCTTAAGCTGCTTTGAAAACCTCAATTAAGAGCTGATGAGCTTAAAATACATCTTTGGGATTGTTCATACATGTTAGACATATATTACTGTAAAACTTCACAAAGGGTGACTGCACTGATTTGAATTATCGTGGTTTCACTTAAAATACACAATACGGAGAACAGATTTTTCAGATGTAAAATTTTGGCTGCCTTTGTGCTCAATTTATAAGTTTAGATCTAGGTGAAAAAACCCAAGTCCTATTTAAACTTGGAGCCCTGATGTCTTTGCTCTTTGTTGAGATTTATTAGACTCTTTAGCTTTTAGTAATCTTGAAGGTGCAATTCTTCACTCTGACTACAGTAGATCCAGAGTGAGCATTCCTGTGTCAGTGTGCAGATTTTCCATAGTAGCTGAATGTTTCTAAGGCACTTGAAAATATCTTTTCCTTACTGTTTTTTTAATTGTTATTGTTCTTTTAAGTCTGAGGTTCTTGTGTTTTTCTCAGGGGGAAAACTGGGGGAAATTTGTCAATGCCAGTGTGTAGCAATAACTAATTTTTCTAAATCTCAGTATATGCGTCATGACTTAAATTTTTTCTACAAGGTATGAAAATCACACTTATAGTAAAAGAGTTGTTAATTTAGCAATGGTTATTCAAGCTATGTTATTTGTGAGTGTAGGACAAACACTGGTAGAATTTGTCAAGGTCCAAATGCTAGAGATTAATAGTGTAGTGTGTTACAGGCATCTTTCCTAATGCATCTGAAGCACAATTCGTTGCACAATTTGTTGATGTCACATTTTGGCAGGATTTGAGTGATCCAGTAAAGCCAGATAGATCCAGCTTTTGCCTTTTTCCTTAGCAGGGGCTAAATCACTTGGCAGTGGTCAGGGAGGGAGCTGGCAGAGCAGCAGCTGGTGCAGAGCAGAGATGGAGGGAGAGGTGTGCAGGTACACAGGGGCTGCAGGGGCTCCTCCTGCTTGAGGAGCTGCTCCTCAAGTATGGCTCAGCCCAAGGCACACTCACAAGTGCTCTGCTTCCACAGGTGTAAACTCTGCCTTTGCTCTCCCTCTTCACAAGAAGAAGCTTCAGTGAGATTGTTTCTCTCTCCATCCAGTCCTAATCTGGAATCAGTTATTGCTCAGTTATTGTGCAGCGTAAATCTGGGTGCTGGGTGGCACAGAAAGCATTAATGTGTAATTATGTACCATGCATATAAAGCAAGTTCTTTACAGTTTAGAAACAGGTGAGTGCCAGGATCCATAATCTCTCTGACTCTGCTCTGTTTATGAATGTGAAAATCTGTTTTGTTGCAGGGCATAGATAGTCACGCAAGGTTCACTTGCTTAAAATGCTTTGAAAATATTTTTCTTTTGTGCTCCTTTTTGGTCTGTCTGTGTGGCTGCATTAATATTTGAACCAGTGATGTCTGTGTGCTATGATCTCTCTAATCTTTGTTGTTTGTTATGGCAAAACTGGAAAAAAACATGGTAGAAAATATGAAAGTCATAATGTTTGTTAAGAAAAAGAAAAGTCACCATATGGCTGAACAGATTTTAATTAATATTAAATTGCCAGGAGAAATTTTGAGAGAAGTCAAATAAAAATCCTTTATTTTACAAATAAATGCTCAGATTTTGTTTTTGAATACATTGCTGAGGCGATTTGGACTATTGGGAAGCCTGAAGACAGTAATGGGAGGGCATTCTCAGAAATACAAAATGCACAGAAATAGAAAAGGTGATTTTGGGGAAGCTGGCAGCTACCTAGCTACTATCAAAACCCTGACACTTAACTACTCTTGGGAGGTGGTAGAGATTTCATTCCTTTAGACCTTACTGATATTTCTGTCATCCTGTAAACTTAAAAAAAATACTCTTAAATCACTGACTGTGAAACTGGACACAACCATTTCTATAGATTCCAAGCTAAGAACACTTATTCTAACATTCTTCATTAACACAGAGATGGGAATGGCAGGGTCTGTGATTGCCACACCAAGAAACCACATGGCAAGGGTAAGTCACGATTTTTATCAGGAAAATCTTAAACACAGATAAACAGGCCTGCACACTTTGTGTAGAAAAGTGAAAATATCCCCAATGTGTTGTGTGCAAAGAAGTGTTCAGTGGAAGAGTTTGAAATGCAAATTGAGGGGGATGAGTCCTGGCACTGGAGACTTGGAGGGGCCACTCTGGGGAACTTGTGCCTCCGAATGCCCAGCAGGTTGCTGTACCCATCACTCAAGGGTGCTTCTCAGATCCCTCTGAATCGCTGGTGTTTCTCAGGTGTGACAACAGATTGTGTTGGCAGCATCCAAGAACAGCACACATTTGGTCATAAAGATGGATTTACTGCTTTGTTCAGTAATAGATTAATGTTCTGGTGCATATATGTTGTATAAAACATCAGTCTATCAGCTCATGTAACCATGGAGATGAGTAATTTGCATACATGGAAACTTTGGGTTCATTTATGCTTAGTGCCTATATTTTCTTAAGAAATAGATCTTTACAAACATTATTATTAATAAATATTTTCATTAATGCTGTTTTCTGCTAGCTGAGAATAATTGGCCTAATTTGTGAAAACATGGAGCTGATTAAAAATTAACTACTGAAAATAATCTAGCTTATTCTTAGACTCAAGTGGGACTGTAAAAAACTGTCAAAATTAATATATTAATATATTAATAGTGTTAAACTTTATAAATAACATAAAATTAGAATTTGTAATATTGTTAGCTCTGACAGAGTCTAATTACACTTCATACTTTGTTTTCTAGTGGCAGTCATAAGGTATGAAAGGCACAACCACACATTAGTGAAAGTGCTAATTATATTATGTGTATTTACACATTCCTTTCCTATGCTAATGTGTTTATATATGCTTAGGGAATACATATAAAGTAGGTTTTTGAGATCCTTTACGTGCTTTAATGAATAATAAATGTGAACAAGACACAATCCAAAATTAATTTTAAAATGCAAGAAGTTTTGCTAGTGATGCATATACAATGTTTCATTAAAAAGACCCAATGTAGAAACCACCAGCCACAGTAACAAATGGCAATTCGGTTGCAGATACTGCGAGTAGAATACTAACAGTATAATTCTTCATTATGTTGGAATCATACCACTTTTATTGACCTGCAACTCTGTATCTATTAGTAAATACCAGCCTAGAACTTGTCAGCAGAGTGAAGAACAATA